GGGAGGGCGGAGGGGAGGGAGAGGGAGGTTGGAGATAATCAGGTGGGGGACATGGGGTACAAATGCAATTTGTGGTAATGGGTATGCTGCCAGTATGATCTGGCCCTCACATCATGGGCACAAGAGGTGACAATCAGCTTTGTATCTCATAAATATTCATAACCAATAAAAATATTTAAAATAAAAATAAAAAATAAAATAAATTAAAATAAAGTCTTTTAAACGGTTTCATTACCTCTTCCATCATATTTTCCCATTTTAAATTTCTAAAAAGAGATGATATTGCAGAAACTCTACAGTTATTCAACTGTTTAAGCAGGGTTTTATAAGCATCTTCAATCTTGTTTTTATTCTGTAAAACAAAGGAAAGTCAGGTAAATTGTCATAAATAAAATATATGATTACTTTCCAACTACAGAAAATCAGATATTTAAGGTGTAATTATGTTACAATATATTTCTAAGTAAAAAAAAATTATACTAATGTAATTGCCGATGGTCAGCACAGTTTTTAAAGCCTGCCAAACATCACTATTTTGTCTTTGCTAAACTAACTTTGTCTGGTTATATGGTGCATTTTGTTTTTCAACACTTTCATGAAGGTAAAATTAGCACAATGTAAAATTCACTCATTTTAAGAGTATAATTCAATGTCTTTCTGTAAATTTATCAAGCTGTGCATCCATCATCACAATCCAATTTTAGAATATTTCCAACATCCCCCAAAAAACCATCATGTGCATTTAATGCAATATATTTTATTATGATAAATTTCAGACATACCCATGAATAAAGTATAGCATAACCTCCCCACAGGTACCTATCACTCAGCAACAGCCATTATCAACATACATTGCATTTTTAATTATATTTCATGTAGTCATCAAATTGGTTAATAAAGTAAATTCTATAAGGTGAATGTTCAACAAATTAGAAAATAAATTATTTTATGAGCATTAAAATACTCCATTAAAAAATTCTTCTTAAGGAGAGATTGGGCAGGATGTTTGTAGGGCACTCTTAAAACTCAGATTCAGAAATTGCTCTAACAATAAAGATAGATCAGTCAGTAACAGTACTTTCTTGAAATATAAAATTAAATTCCAGGGCTGTTCCTGCTAACAGTAGGCAACCAGAGTTGGAAATATTTTAATAATAGGAGCACTAACTAAAGCAATATAAACTACCTTACCATTTCATAACAGCCATGTGCATGTCCCCAAATACATGAGGGCTGTGACACAATGCTCAAAGACTGATAAATGTTAACTGACTCAAAAATTATTTTGATGAAATATAAAATGGTCTTCTTAATCAGAATTCATTGCAAGTAGTGAAAAATAAGCTGAAAATAGATTTATTAATAAAGTCCATTTGCATTTTTAACTCCCAAAATTTCAATATAGTAATTGTCAAAATACCAATATAGTAAAATTATAAGGTCATAGAATGAGAATTCTAAAGACTGAAAATTCTCCTGTTAATGACTTAATATTAAGAAATAAACTTATTTCAGTTCTTTTCCTTCTTCATTAACCTTCTCCATTACTTTCTCATTAAACTCCACCATATTAACATCATTTCACTAGTACGTCTTGGCAACAGAAACATAAATTTGCCTCTAATTTAATGTATTTCTGGCCTTCATTAACCAGGAGTCAATATACCACACAGGGGTTAAGAGCATGGGACTGAGATCAGACTGCATCTTTGTAAGCCCATGTTCTATTATTCATTTGGTGTTGATGGTGAGTGGATTACTTATTCAAGTATCTATTTCCTCATCTATGAAACATAGATGATACTAACACCTACCTTATGGGATTGTTGTGAAGGTTAAATGAAAATAATTCAAGAGAAGTATCAAGCACTATTGTTATAACAATAAGTGCTCAATAAATGACTACATTTGTGTCATTATTATCAATATTTTATTATTATTAATTTTTATATTTCTCTGTTAAACTTATGATAATTTTCATTGAGAAGGTGGGAAAAACTGAATCCAGTAATTTAGAAAACTTTCTAAAAATCTCAAAGAAAATTGTCTTTTAGATATAAATTACCTCCTTGAAAAATATCTGGTTTCTGTTCATGCTTGGCAAAAAGTATGCATAAAGTCGAAGAATATTAGATGCTTGCCCTGAGAAAAGCACAACATTGACCTTCATTGCCCAAGACTGAATGATTAAAGAGCTAAAAAGTTGTGTTTGTAGATTGTTAAGGCCTTCATCTGCAACTATCAGGAAATATGGGCAACTCTCTTCCAAGAAAATTTTCCACTCCTTTGATAAGCATCCAGAAAATTCAGTTCGAACATCAATGGTAGTATTATTCTGAAGATGAAGGATTAAAGCAGTTCTCAAAGAAAGAAGTTCAGGGAAGCTGAAATATGCATCCTCTGCATCCTGTGGAGGAGGAGATTAGATACATTTTTCTGAAGTTATTTGACACATTAGTTACCTCTAGGGAAAGGATTAGGAAGGAGTAGTAGTGGTTCTACATATCTATATCTGAAATTGGTAAAATTGTATTAGTTATACTCAGAATCAAAAGAGAAAACCAAATACAGTATTCTCTTGGAGGTATTTGTCATACAACAAACAATAACGAAGCAGGGTTAGTGAGTTTGCCTGGGCTCAAATATGTTTATGTTAGGCTCAAATAAATTTACTGCTGAGTTTTGAGGACAGAAGTAGTTCTCAGAATTGGAAGACTAAAATGCACAGATTGACTGGTCTGCTGTTGAGGAGATTTCTCATCCTCCCTCATAATAAAATTCCATTATTGCAAATAAAAAATAATCTCAAATGTGGTAATTTCCAAATACTGGAATTATCGGTAATTTTTTCTCTTCTTCCCTGCAACTTTTCTGGAGTTTTATATAAATATTTTATTTTGTAACAAGAGGAAAAATATTTATTAAGTAATTTAAGAAATTTTAGTTTTAGTTCTCAAGTTATAGAAAAGAACTCAACTATATCATATTACCTTGAAAAAAACTATGGCAAACTGTCCTCCTTTACTAATAATATCCACAAAATAGTGTTCAATCAGATAGAAGAAGTGGAGATTCTGCCCCGGCTTTAAAGATTTCTCACATATATGTGTGATAAGTAATGAATCTCCATCAATCACAAAAAATTCAGATTCAACAAAATCATTGAATATACTGGAATATCTAAAATGAAAAACAGACCGTTAAAACAAAAATCACACCTAGAAAACTAAGAAAAAAGCAGTGGGATCATTATTATTATCCCATTATCATTATTGTCAACAGCTAAATTTGCCAAATAATTATTTTATGGCAGTCTCTATAGGGATAACTATACTTCATAAGGAGAAAGCAGGCTCATTCCATCTTACAGATGAGGAAACTTAGGCTCAGAGAACTACAGTAAATTTTCCAAGGCCATATAGCAGCACCTAAATTGGACTTAGGAATTTAATCCCTGTATTCTGAATAGAGACTTTTGTTATATTTCCTTCTTGCTTAATCAATCTCATTCCCTTATAAAACAATGGGTTCACAGATGTTGACAAATGAAGCAACAGAAAACTATTTCCACCCATATGAAACAGTTCTAAACGTGTTGTTAAACCATATATATATAGCTTTATGTAGTTATAGATATAGTACATATTGTTACATACTATATACTGATATATAGTATATATAATATACTGATATATATGTATATATGTACACACTGACATATATATCAGTATATCACATATATATTGTATATCATATATACATATCAGTACATATATACATATATACAGATATACATATATATATATCAGTACAAGGCCAACTAAATATTCAGGGAATGTGACATATAATTTCACATCTTTTTATTACTACAAAAATACTCACTCAGCTTTTGGCATTTCACTCAAAATTAACTGTGACATTTTCTCTGAAATCATCGTGCTTTCTAAATGTTAAAAAAGAGAGAATGGATAACTTTCAATCAGTTCTTTTTAAGGGAGCTCTCACTTATTTAGTTATTATTTGAGAAAGAAGAGTAATTAAATTATTTTTATTCCATTAAGTTTATGTAGCTTACAGAATCGTTGTTTTATAATCTATAACTACTTGTATTTTAAATTGAAAATTACCCATTTTTACCACAAGTGCCTCCAATCTGAACTGCAAATATCAAATATAGCAAATATCTTTTACTTTGGTTCCTCCCAATGGCAGTTATTAATGAAAATGGTAGATCTGCAAAGCAAAAAGAAAAATAAGAAAGTCTTTATTCTGTTAACAAATATCTACTGAATGACCACTATGTGTCAAGCAATGCATTAAGCACCCAGGATACAGGAATGAAAAAAGTCTGCATGTGGTCAGTTCTCATGGAGCTTAAAATTTATCAGGAAAAACAGTCATTAATTATATAAACAAAGAAAAATTTCAAATGTGACAAATTCAAAGAGGTCAGAGGAAGCATTCTTAAAGAAGTAATGCTTGTTTTGAGAACAAAACAAAACAAAAAACAAACAAATAAATAATTATGCTTATTAATTATATAAACAAAGAAAAATTTCAAATGTGACAAATTCAAAGAGGTCAGAGGAAGCATTCCTAAAGAAGTAATGCTTGTTTTGAGAACAAAACAAAACAAAAAACTAACAAATAAATAATTATGCTTATTAAGTTGAACTGTCAAAAGAAGAGAGAACTGTGGTTACTGAAGAAAGGGCAGTGGGGAGAGGGGACAGTGAGAGGTTGGCTAATGGGCACAAAATTACAGCTAGATAGGAAAAATATGTCCTATGGGTGTATAGTCGACCCAGGAATCTAAAATTAACAATGATTTACTGCATGTTACCAAATGACTAGAATGCAGGAGATCAAATGCGCATGTCACAAAGACATGATTAAGTTTTGCAATGATGCATATGCTTATTACCCTGAATAGATCAGCACACATTGTATATATGTACTGAAATACAACTCTGTACCCCATAAATATGTACAATCAATGTTTCAATAAAAAAATGTTTTTAAAAGAAGTAATTATTGGGGCCGGCCCAGTATAGTCGACCCAGGAATCTAAAATTAACAATGATTTACTGCATGTTACCAAATGACTAGAACGCAGGAGATCAAATGCGCATGTCACAAAGACATGATTAAGTTTTGCAATGATGCATATGCTTATTACCCTGAATAGATCAGCACACATTGTATGTATGTACTGAAATACAACTCTGTACCCCATAAATATGTACAATCAATGTTTCAATAAAAAAATGTTTTTAAAAGAAGTAATAATTGAGCTGAGTTCTGAAGGATTAAACAAGAATTAATTAGGCAAAAAGGGGGAAAGTAGTATTCCAGGCAGAGGGACTAGAATACCATGTGTAAAAGCCCTAAGGCAGGAAGGAATGGGGACAAAACTAGGTGCCTAAAAGAAGCCAGTAGGGCTCCAGTGGAGACAGCGAAGGGAAGGGCTAGCTGTGCTAGATAGGGCTAAAGAAATATAAGGGCCTGCAGAGCTTTTGGGAGCATGTTATAGAATTCTCTCTTCATCCCAGAATCAAAAAACTAGCCACGGATGGACTTTAAACAGGTGGTATTATGACTGACTCTGCACTTTGAAAAGATTACTCCAGCTACAGTAGAGAGAATAGCTAGCATGGGAGCAAAGTTCTTGTTAGCAGAGCAAAGGGAGCTGTTGTTCAGGACAGTAACTGATGGCAATTTGATGCAATACAGTCTGATGCAAAATAGTTTGATCACTACCATTAACGAGCTTGTTTAGACAAGGAGCGATGGTATCATGGGAGAAGAGAACTAAAAATCCAATTTTGAGGATTATCAATATTTTATAAATGGCAGGAGAGAGGAGGAAGAGTCTGCAAAGGTAACTGAAAAGGAACTGCTAAAAAGGCAGAAGAAAATGCACTTGAGTATTTTGTCACGGAAACCAAATATTAAGACATTTGCCATTCAGTACATTAGACCTGTGAAACATAGATACGTAGATGCATAGATTCCTATTCCATAACATTAAAGTACATATAATGGTGAAGCACACACTGATAATAAATTTTAATGTGATAAGGCAAGGAAGTATATGAGTGTAAAAATAAGTAAATTTGAAGAAAAAAAAATCACTGGGGGTTGGAATGTTTAGGAAACACTTAATGGAGATTGGAGAGTAAGCCTGGTCTCTCACTTACCCAATTATCCTGCCTATTTCAAAGATTAATAGAGCACCCACTCTTCACCAAGCATTGTACTTGCTGCAGCATATGCAAAAAGCTTCCTCTCCTCTTACAATCTTGTGAAAGTTTAAAGAGAATTAAGTCAAGCATTACAGAATAATGTGTGGAATGTTCTATCAGAAATGGCACAGGAAGCCATCAGAGAATTGTGAAGGACTTCTTCAGTCAGACTAGGGGAATCAGGGTCCTGTGTTCTGAGGTGTCAAGGACAAGTTGAAAAAATGATAGAATTATTGCAAGCAAGTCAGGAAAAGGAAAGATATAGAGGATTACATTAAGGTAGCAAAAATAGCACCAGTTTATTGCACGGAGACATAAACCTACATGACAAGTTTGAGATTCTGCAGCTTATCCTACATGGCATAGCCCAGGGTGACTGATGAGAGATGAAACTGGAATGATAGGTATGCACCATATTATACAGGGTCCTGTGCATGGGTAAGCTGTTTAGACTTTTCTGTGAAAACTCTCTGTGGGTACCAGTTGGACACTGCACAACTCTTCAACAATAACCATTGTGGCAGAATAAAACCCTCTCTAATTTGACAATTAAAGGATTCCATAGCCTACCAGCCTACTCTTCTCTCCGATACTCTACAGGAAAAGCTTCCGTTTTGAACTCTACCCCAAACACATACATGCCTTAACACTTAAAAAAGAATTCACAATCATTATCCCCACTTCTCTCTCATTTAAGGAAGAGGTATGCTAGAGAAAATAAAACCAGCCACCTGTAATGACTGATGAATGAGTAATACACACACACACACATACACACACACACACACAAATTAGTATCAATAGACATTTGAGGCCAAAAAATTAATAAGTAAGAAGAAGCCAGATGAAAAAACAGGATTTAAGGACAGGCTAGACCTTCAAAAAATTCTATTTAGTGCTCTCA